TGAGGTCATTGATCAATCAACATTTCCTTGAGAGATGATTTCTGTTACATTCATACTAAGGAGCTGCAGTAGCAAATTGACTAACAGACTACTGTGAGATTGATTTGTATTGATATTACATGGGTTTAGGGTGCAGTCAAATACTAATCATTTTATTTAACATTAGCCCACCTGCTAGGTAATAAATCTGTCTTCTTCTTGTTATCCAGATTTTAAAGGTGTGTTTTCATACTTCAACCTCTGGAATAAGAAACACTTATTCTTATTCTCAGACACTTGGCCCCATGTGGTAAGCACAAGTGAATTATTTTACTGCAGTTAATATTTTAAAGAATATAGTTATATAATATATTTAAGGTTTGAAAAACAGATCACTAATATTTTGGAGATTATTCTCGATAAGGTCATTTAATGCATTCGTTCACAAAGGAGTTCACCGAGTATATGACATAGGGGAGACAACTTGTACCGTCTAAGTTGTAACAGTTGTCACAGTCAACATAAAAGTCTTGTTGATGACTCCTGGGAATTATGTAACTTAAAGTTATGTAATGTGTTTATTTAAAAAAGTATATAGAACAAATGGATGATGTTTTAAGGAATGTTTTAAGTGAGATAATTCAATGCATTTACAAATTGATGACAAGTGTGTGATATCAGTAAGCAATATAGGGGAGACAAGTTGTACTATCTAAGTCATAAAAGTTGTCACGGTCTAAGTTAAAGTCTTGTTAATAACTGCAGGGAAGTACTGTGTGCTAGTCATGTAATATGTTTATATTTACATTATGAAATATATAAAAAAGATAGCGTATTACAGATTATTTTTACTTAGATATTTTAATGTATAAATTTGTATGATATCATTTAGCAATGGAGGGGAGACAACTTGTACTGTCTAAGTTATAAAAGCTGCCATACAGCCTTATTATTGACTATAAGAGAGCTATTTGGATTTCAATATTTTCCTTTAAACAAGATTTGAAATTCAGTTATGATGAAATTGATTTACCAGTTCGTATGAACCATTAAATCAATCAGTTTAAAACGATTTCATTGATTTTCTTTGTTAAATTGCAAAACTTACTACAAAAAAAAAATCCAAAGAGGCTATATATACATAATCTGTTTTAAAAGTTCTTGCACAGGCCTGTAGAATATTGGATACACTTCTTTATGCTATCCATAATTTGGATAACACTGGTAAAACTTATCTGCATGATACAGTCGTGATTTGAGAGGGCATAGGATAATTAACTCATAGAGTTTGTACAGATTTTGAAAAGTACTTAGAAAACATTAAATACTTGGCGGAAATATATTGAGATAGAAACATTAGAAAAAGGCTAAAAAATTATCAGTAGTGGTGTGCAAAGAAAAAAGTAGATTCAATTGAAAATATTTGGAAATTGCTTGATTAAATGAATTGTAAAAAGCATTTGGTTTGTTTGTGTTTTACGTCCTATTTAACAGCTATGGTCATTTAAGGACGTGCCAGGTTTTGTGGTGGAATTCCATGGGGAAAAAACACCGACCTACAGCCAGTACCTGGCAACTGCCCCATGTAGGTCTCGAACTTGCGACCCAGTGTTGGAGGGCTAGTGGTAGCAGAATGTCAGACACCTTAACCACTTGACACTTGAAAAAAGTAAAGGAAAACTTTAGATGCTAAATGTGAAAAACACCTAGTTTTGATAGATAACCCTGTAGAAAAAAATAAGTGGCCCTACAGGGATCTCCTGATTATCTCCCCTACCATGCTATATGATCAGGTAGAATGTGAGTATCTCTAACTATATTTATGAAATTGTAATATCCTGGTACGTGATTACCATTATTAGTTACGCCTGACACAGGTAGGGATGTGTATCACGATATCTGGAAAATATATACATTGTGCATTTAGCAGTTATTTGAAACCTATCTTCAAACTTTTATCAGGTGAGTATTATTTGTACAGTATAAATAACATTACTTACCAAAAAGTACTCAGTAGACATCATTAAATTCTCGAATTACTTCACTTCTGGCTTGAATATGATTATAGGATAATACTATCTAAAAAATGCTGCATGGAAGAGAGTAAATATTATGGATCTAGAGTGTTTATCAATACCTTAAAACCACCATTTATCAACTGAAAACAGACAAAGATAATTGGCAATGCATTAGTCAATAGCCGTGGTAATTGGTATTGAACGAAAAACTTATCACATTTTGGTTTTATTCCCAACATAGAAGTAAGATTAATTTGGTTTGACATATCCTTTTTAAAGTTCTAGACGTGTAAAAAAAAAATCTTTCTTCAAATTGGCACTGTGAAGATCGAAGTATTGACGAGTCATATGCGTGTGCGCTTTTGTGGTATTTCCAACATATTTAAGTTTTCTTCGGACATTTGCTCGCAAGAAAAGAACAATTTTTTCGTTTCAAATACTTTATCTTTGCATAAAGTATATTTGACAGTTTATTGTTGCAAGATAGGCGACTTGAAATGTGCTAATGCCTTGACATATTTCTCGTCATGTTCTCCGTCTGCTATTTTAGTTTGTTGAGTTCTAAAACTATTTTTTCTTTGAAGAGTTCCAACAAGGGAGAGTACAAAGTGACAAGTATCTCAGGTATCACGATACAGTCTTACCGCATCAGTACATCGTATCACAGCCCTTGTGATCCAATGCATAGATACATAGTATCACAGCCCTTGCGATCCAGTACATCGGTAAATCATATCGCAGCCCTTGTGATCCAATACATCCGTGCATCGTATCACGGCCCTTGTGATCCAGTACATCGGTAAATCATATTGCAGCCCTTGTGCCCCTGTACATCAATGCATCGTATTGCAGCCCTTGTGATCCAATACATCGATACATCGTATTCGGCCCTTGTGATCCAATACATCGGTGCATCGTATCACAGCCCTTGTGATCCAATGCATCGGTACATCGTATCATGACCCTTGTGATCCAATACATCGGTGCATCGTTTCACTGCCCTTGTGATCCAATACATCGGTGCATCGTTTCACTGCCCTTGTGATCCAATACATCGATACATCGTATCGCGACCCTTGTGATCCAATACATCGGTACATCGTATCGCGGCCCTTGTGATCCAATATATCGGTGCATCGTATCACAGCCCTTGTGATCCAATGCATCGGTACATCGTATCACGGCCCTTGTGATCCAATACATCAGTACATCGTATCGCGGCCCTTGTGATCCAATACATTGATGCATCGGTGAATCGTTACACCCCTAGACAAACTCAGTTGCGTTTAATTAAGTAAAAAGAAACTAAAATCACGAAGCCATCGTATAGATTTTTATTACATTCATCATACATTCAATAGGAAGACTGTATAGTGAGGAACTTTCACTCCTTCAAACTTTCGCCATACCCTAGGAACTTTATCTTGGCCCTGTATAAATCTCACCTTTCACATTTGATTACTTTGTTTGCTATCTTAGTTACTAAAGTTTATGCGATAATGAGGGCAAAAAGTTTTAAGTGATGCTGCTGTGAAAATTTTCTAGTCTACATGCAGTAATGCCCCTGTAGAAAAATCTGTTTATCACTGAATTAATACTGTATTGCAAGGAAGCAATATTAGTTTATGTCAGTAATAATAACAACACAGTGTTTGAGTTCTAGATTGTATTAAGGAGCTACTAAAGGAACATGATACTGATATGTTGGATATTGATATAGTTGTACAGGTTGTTACTTATACACATATTTATACATACTACACATAATATGCATACAATACAAAACTTGGCTTGAAGACCGCTCAGATGTGATTTTTTGTAGATTTAAATTACCACATTTTAAAAGATGTTACAGATTTACGTCTCTCAAATTTGGGACCTCTACCCTGAGGTAAATAATCCACCAGTACCCGTAAGTGTACCGCTACAACGATGGTTGAAGAAATCTTCAAGACTACTGTGTTTGAATCATCCTACAGATTTGGAACATCTACGCCATGGTAAAAGTTCGCCAGTATACCAAGGATGTATATATACCGTACAACGAATGTTGCATGAATTAATACTGTATTGCAAGGAAGCAATATTAGTTAAATCTAACAAAGCCTCATCTGATTTTGTGATAAGATCCTACTTTTTATATACAGATTGATGACTACAATATGATACTAGTATGATATGATACTGATCCAATACATTGATGCATCGGTGAATCGTTACACCCCTAGATGTAACGATTCACACAGTATCATACAGCAGTATGATACTGTATTGCATACACAGATTTAATTTTTTCGTGGCAGTGTTAATTTTTTAATTCAACACATCATTGAAAATTTCTTATCCAGTTATTATAAGATATTATGATTTAAAACCATCACAAAACTTGAAAATTTAACAATGACAGTACTTTGCCACTTGTTGTAAACCAAAGAATTTCTATGTACCCTACATCAATAGAATATTGAACATGTTTCATGATCTCAAGTTGTCTTATGAAAAAAACCTTTTAAATATGGATTTTTTGGTTTCGTGGACCATTGAGTACCATACCATTCATTTGTATATGTCCTGTCTCCATTAGACCTTCATTGGTTTATAACTTATAGATATCTTTAAGACTGTTAACTGTATATGAGATACAATAAAAGTTGCCTCCGTAATTATAGATGTCAGTGTATCAGACACATTTCTTATCACTGTTGTCCCTGTCAACTGTCATGTCATCCATTAACCAGCGAAGGTGCTGTTTTAAACTTTTAACATCAGTGTTTATCAGACATTGTTCTAACACCTATGATAGGTTAATCAAAGCAAAGATAGGCTATCTTTGCTTTGATTAACTAAACCATGGAACTTAGTGGTTTTAAGAAGTGGAATACTTTGTGGTTGTGCTCCTTCTGTACGGACGCCCCTCTGTGCTGAATCACTATAATTGTTGTTAACTTTACAAAAGCTATAAGCTTTACAAACACTTAGAATCGATAAAAAGCAATTAATACCGAAATATTTTAATGCAATTAATTTATAAAACATTCATAAAACAGTTATGTCAATGACATGATGACAAATGACTGCAGAAAAAATTAAGTTCCCCAAAATCTGTCATTCATATCATCCAACTCTGTTTAATTTTAAAATTTTAGAAAGGAAAACTCAAAAAAGTCATATTTCTTTTTAAAATTTATTAACTGACTCAAATAAAGTAAATTTGATAAAAAGGTCAATAACTGTTGAACCGGTACTTCACCGAGATCATCCATTGAATATAATGGCTTCAATCATGAGTAAATTGTTGAGACATTAACTGTGCCCAACTCCCACTGATAATTCTTGTTGTCAGTCATATGTGAAAACCATGGTTACAGCCCTTATTTTCCAGTCCCTTTTTACAACACGCCCATTTATACTTGACATTCAGTATCTTGCCGTTATCACCGTAAATTTCTTTGATTTCTCTCCCTTTGTTGTGAAACATGCACGCTTTGTTGTTGTTATCGGAAGGCTTGAAAAGTCTGTTACAGCGGAGGCACTGGGCTACACCTGTTCGGGAGTTACCTCCCTTGTTTGAGTACACATTAGCCTTTAACCTTGTTTTCCAGAAAGCAACTTCTTCTTTGCCAACAGGATATGACACAATCTGGTCTCCCTCGACGTACTTACGTTCCTTTGTGCTTGGCGTACATTTTGGAGTCAATTGCTTAAAAGTTTGACGTGAAGTTTTCCCCGTCTCTGAAAAGTTGTCACTTTCCATATTCTCTAAATGGAATCCGATGCCTGTGTGTGAAGCGTTGTACGATGTTACGATATCCTGCACCTTGGTCAGCTGTCCAATGGTGTTTTTGAGTTCACCTTTCAGCCACGATATTTCTGTGTCCCTTTCATCAATTTTAGATTGCAGTGAGTCTTTTTCCCAGTGGAGATTAGCAATGGCATTTTTCAAATATTTGAAATCAAGTTCTGAGTACTTTGCCATCTTCTCCTTAGGATTTTTTGGCAGTATATCCTCAGTAACACCTGCCAACTGTTTTAAGTGTTTTATCTTCGACATTAGGTCTTGCATCAATTTCTCTGTCGATGGTGTTTCCTCTAATATTTCGTCTTCAAGAATCTGCTCCGGTTTAGAACTCCTTGGAGGTTCAATATATAGCAATTCTAGCAGTTCTTGCACCATGGCGTCATGGGTGAGAATAATTTTATGTTGACGATCAATCTCCTGCATAGCTGCATTTAGGCGTTGTTTCCAAAGATTACGTTCAGCCTGAACGGTCTTGCCGATAATATCTGACAGTTCATCGTAATCCTCAAACTCTTCCCTGTTCATGTCCAGGAGGTTGGCAACAGTGTGTGTGATGTCATCGTCTACGTTCAAAATCTCTAGCATGCTTCCAGTACGATTTGTCAAGCGAGAGGTTGGTAGTGCAATGGTCATTGGAGTGTTGGTCAGTCTTGCACTGGACATGGAACTGGTCTGAGGTGTAGTGAACTGATTCACCACAGCAGTCGAGGCCATTGTGCCTGATGTAATATCCTCAACAAGCTGAAAATGTAGAGAAATGAAGTTAAAGCTACCTTAAAATCCAAGTTATCAACCCAGGTTTTTATGATAAAAATGACTTAACAATATTTAATATCCATTACAGATTAAGTATTAAGGCATTTTTCTGGGAGTTGAATGCCCTTAGAATAGAAAAACAATATTTGAAATTTGTTTCAGAAAGAATTAACTGCCTATTACAGTAGATATCTTCTTTGATCAGACACGTACATGCTATAATTGACATCTTCATTGATGAGATACATACTTGAATAAACTTCTCCAAGTATAAGATACATGCTATAATAGACATCTCCATGTATAAGACACATGCTATAGTAGACCTCTCCATGTATAAGACACATGCTATAGTAGACATCTCCATTTGTAAGACACATGCTATAATAGACATCTCCATGTATAAGACACATGCTATAATAGACATCTCCATTTATAAGGCACATGCTATAATAGACATATCCATGTATAAGACACATGCTATAATAGACATCTCCATGTATAAGACACATGCTATAGTAGACATCTCCTTGTATAAGACACATGCTATAATAAACATCTCCATGTATATTACACATGCTATAGTAGACATCTCCATGTATAAGACACATGCTATAGTAGACATCTCCTTGTATAAGACACATGCTATAATAAACATCTCCATGTATAATACACATGCTATAGTAGACATCTCCATGTATAAGACACATGCTATAATAGACATATCCATGTATAAGACACATGCTATAATAGACATCTCCATGTATAAGACACATGCTATAGTAGACATCTCCATGTATAAGACACATGCTATAGTAGACATCTTCATGTATAAGACATTACCCTGGATGTTGAGAGGACATTTAAAAATGCACATTATAATAGACACTTCAGTTTATAAGACACCTTTTATATACATGTATATAGTAGACATCACCATTGGTAAGAGATGTTATAACAGACTTTTACATATATAGAACACATGCTTATGTACATATCTCCATTGATACAATATGAAATATTTGTTGAAGGTAATTAATTTATTACAGCAATACTGTATGTCGTTACCTAAGGTTATATTGATACGTTTTGTTTTCTTATGCGTGATATTTTGTTGACAATCTCAGATTGCATCAAATAGGAAAATGTAACAGCAACCTGATATGTTCCCTACCTTTTTTAAATTCAGACTATTTTTCATTATTACTAATACTTTGATTCACACTGCCAGTCATATAATTTATATAAAAAAGAACTTTCTATAAAGACTGTTTTCCACAATCCCAGACTTCTTCCACCCCCTGTGATATACTTACATTACCGGTGGTGGTATTGTAATATCCTTTTAGGGTACCATATCAATTAGCCAGTTCCCTCAGTCCACAGTGTCAGCCATTACTGTTAAATTAAGGCTAGAATACTGCCCCGTGTTTGCCAATTTCTTCAGTCCAGGTTGTTGGACATTACCGTTAATTTTGGGCTAGGATACTGCCCCGTGTTTTTACTTGTGCTGGTCTAACACAGTTGTCATGCTGAGCTCGAGAGAAGGTTAATTCCAGGTAATGTTTAGTCTGGTAATGCTAAACCTTAGGTTGGATTATCAATTATAATCCTCTCACAAGTCTAATAAATACTTGAAATGTGGACATATCCTTCCACTGTTTCAATTAAAGCTCAAAATAAAATCCGTAGGTCCACATAATGTTTACTTAAATCCCTGTAAGTGTGAATAGCTACATCCATGCCAGGGATATAGATTTATAAATCCACGTTGTTGAACACCGGTAAGATGTTTAAATGTTGAACACTTAAGTAACTTCAAACATTTCTCTTCAAAAAGAAAATCTATGTGATTGTGTACAAAAGTATTAAACACGTTTCTGTCATTTCTAATTCCACAACTGGCTGAATGAAATTGATATAGCGGTAAAATCAGTATTTGTGTCTCCTGAAGTTTGATCGCGTCTATAGAATCAATTGCTATTATTCGTTTGGTAACACAGTTATGATGTATTCCATACCCGTAAGATGTTTTGTTCCGTCGTTTTACGGTAAATACCTTCAGTGTGATGATCATATCAATACTCTTTACCGTGGAATGGAATTAACAGTTATACTGTAAAATTCTCCTCAGTATCGTTTGTTTTAAGAAAAAAATCCTCAAATAATTATAATGTGATAAATGACAACTTTATACAGTCTGTTATTGTCTTATATTTATTATCCCATATAATAGACTTGTCTAAATATGTAGCCACCAATAACTCAAAGATATTATATTTATATTTTGTAACAAGGCTGAAGTTTAATAGATCATCAAATATACATTTTCCACATAGAGTTCTTTAACTTTTACAACTTGTTCAAAACATTACAGGATATGCTTCTAATAATGGCGATCGTAATTCAATGGCATTAGGTGTATACTATAAAATATCCTTTTAAAGCATTGTCAGTTTAATTTAGAGAAAAAAACACCTGTCAATGTAAAAAAAACACTAACACAATGTGGTAATTTATGTTCAGCTCATGATAAATGAAAAATGGAGCAATACATATGCTGCAATATTTTCTGGTACTTGAAAAAAATCTTTGAGAAAAATATATAGATATCAACAAAATCATCAAGCTGACATTGTTTGTACGGGGTAACTGGAGCTGGTATAATAACTTCGGTTGGTGTGAGATTAATTGTTGGAGCAGGGGCTATAATCCTAGTACCATATTTACACATGATTGAAGAAATATTTTTCTTTTAGCATTTTCAACCAAACATGTAAATTGATAGGGTAATTATTGTCTCCCGTGTGAACTCCAGGGTTTAATTTAGGGTGATCTGGGGGAAACGCATTCACACCGATTCCGTAATTGAATCACCGGTTATTTTGAGCCCGTTTGAACATTTATTTCTGTGATGTTTGAGTGTTATCTACCTATATATCTACTTTTTAATTATTTAATCTCAATGAACAATTCAGTTTTGGTACCTAAGTTCCTTTATCGTCAAAAAAACTGACGTGTAATTGAAAATTTTGTTCCACTTTTGTACAGATAAAATTTATGAAGGTAAATGGTAGTTTAAAGTGGTAAAGATTTCATTAAATTTGCTATCTAAAGCTCATTTGATGACTACCTGCAGATCGATCTTATATGAGATTTTGAATGAATAACAAGTACTGTGATGTACAAAAACAAGCTTTATTTGGATCTTTATACGTGACATTGTCCTGTGGTTATATATATTTTGTAATAACTTGTGTACTAAATTGTCTTTACATTTGATATTATGAAAGTATTGACTTAAATGTGTAATGTTTTTTTTACGGTTATTTAAGTTTGCAATTCCCAATGATTTTTTTCAGAATATTTTTAAGCAATGAAAGGTATTGAGGGTTTCATTTTACCTACATATGGGGGGTATATATCACCTCCTAAAATGGCTTTTAACCCTCAAAATGTTGTCCTATATAGGGGTCAGAATTTGTGTTTTATGCCTGATTTTACCCCCAACTTGTAAAAAATATATGTTGTATGGCTTGCAAAACCATTGGTATTGTTCTAATGCATTAAACAGTTGTATTGCAATACAAACACCTGCTTGCATTTTGACATGCTTCAAAATCCCATCCATGGGTGGTCCGATGGCACAGTGGAGCTGGGATTCCCCCCCTCCCCCCCCCGCACACTACTAAGATCCTGGCCAACAAGAGTGATTAGTATAAGTTGTGAAAACTTGTCTCATAATTGTTGTAAAATAATAAAGTTTTGTATTTATAAAATCCCATCCATCAGCACAGGGTATATTCATTGTATCGTATTCGACAGATTTACTTTCTTCCAAGGGTCACAACATTTTGACTGTCATGATGTGTATAGTCAATCAATATATACATTCACTTACTATATCTTTTACCTTTCCCATTAATCAAATGATCTGGACATTGATAGTGGTTTGATTATATACAATTACATATATTATGGACAGTGTTGATATTGTCTTTGGAAAAAAACCCGCTGAAGTTATGAAAACAAAAATCAGAAATTCTTTAACGTTATAACAATTTCGAAATTTAGATTTATAAAAATGGTCATCTTAAAAAAGTCAGAGAATGAGATATTGGTTTTAAACTAAAACATGTTTTACTCTTGGTATTTATATATATTTATTCACAAACTATCCTCTGTGGATCCTTCTCAATACAAGAATGAACTTGGATAGTAGTTACAATTGTCTAAACGCCATTCACATGTCAGTCAGACTGTTTTCTGGCTTGATACTGACATATATATTATTATTATTGTAGAATTCATTATTGTTCAAAAGTCGTTCAGATGTCAGGGCCACCTGGGTCTGAGGGCAGTAGATTGGTGTATATTCCCTGTATAGAGCACTGCAAGAGCCTGTCAAACACTGATTCCTGTAAAACATGTAACCCTAATAGAAAGGCCACACTCCCCCGAGACCTCTACTCACAACAGTTCAGACATTGAAGTAGGGTTCCTTTAATAAATACATTAATTAAAAATACCCTGGCGTCAAAATCAATCCCACCGAATCAACACCTATTTATTTTATCCGGTCAGTAGAGGTATTCAGCTATATACTGGTGTGATATCGGCTGACAATGGAATGTCTCCTGCAATTACTACCGAGGATTTCACACAATGTCTGATCAGAACACTATAGTATCCTTAATATATCATTACCCGTCTAAACGGGACACTCAATGATTCTTACATACAGTAAAACTATATAGTCATTTATTTGAAATGATCAACAGTAATTGTTTTTTGGGGGGAAAATCTTTTTTTTTTTTGAAATATAACAAAAGATATGTAAATTATTATTTGAAAAAGTGATAGATTTTATTTACATGCATTTTGAAAATACACAGCTTAACAATAGATTCTTGGACAACAGTTGACAGATCCTTTTTCATGAAATACTTACTTTCTTGTTAATATAGATCCATCTTCATGGAATAGTGCATGTCTTTCAACAGCAAACAAATCCATTTCCATGGCACAATATTTATTCGCTCTGGAATACTTTTCAATTTCCCTTGAGTGACACAATTTAAGTAAAGTACTAAATATGTTATCAGGAAAGCTTACCAGACACACTTGAAAATATCTGCACACCTAAGAGATTAACTAAGTAGAAAGTCTCATAAGGGGAAGTAACTGGACATAAGGGGAAGTGACTTGACATAAAGGGAAGTAACTGGACAACAATGGAAAAAACCTAGACATCTAGAAGTAACTGCATGTGGCCATAATGGGAAAGAACTAGACATCAATGGAAATCAAAGCTCAGTAACAAAAGAAGTAATTGTGGACATGGAGGGAAGTCATTTGACACCAATGTAACTAACTACCCATCAAGGATTTTAACTATACATCAATGTAACTAACTACCCATCAAGGATTTTAACTATACATCAATGTAACTAACTACCCATCAAGGATTTTAACTATACATCAATGTAACTAACTACCCATCAAGGATTTTAACTATACATCAATGTAACTAACTACCCATCAAGGATTTTAACTATACATCAATGTAACTAACTACCCATCAAGGATTTTAACTATACATCAATGTAACTAACTACCCATCAAGGATTTTAACTATACATCAATGTAACTAACTACCCATCAAGGATTTTAACTATACATCAATGTAACTAACTACCCATCAAGGATTTTAACTATACATCAATGTAACTAACTACCCATCAAGGATTTTAACTATACATCAATGTAACTAACTACCCATCAAGGATTTTAACTATACATCAATGTAACTAACTACCCATCAAGGATTTTAACTATACATCAATGTAACTAACTACCCATCAAGGATTTTAACTATACATCAATGTAACTAACTACCCATCAAGGATTTTAACTATACATCAATGTAACTAACTACCCATCAAGGATTTTAACTATACATCAATGTAACTAACTACCCATCAAGGATTTTAACTATACATCAATGTAACTAACTACCCATCAAGGATTTTAACTATACATCAATGTAACTAACTACCCATCAAGGATTTTAACTATACATCAATGTAATTACTTAATTTCAACGGAAGAAACTGCAAACATGAAGGGAAGTAACTATACATCAATGTAATTACTTAATTTCAAGGACAGAAACTGCAGACATGAAGGGAAGTAACTATACATCAATGTTATAACTTAATTTCAAGGGAAGAAACTGCAGACATCAAGGAAAGTAACTTAACATCAATATAAATAACTTAATTTCAAGGGAAGAAACTGCAGTCATGAAGGGATCGAAGTAACTATACATCAATGTAAATAACTTAATTTCAAGGGAAGAAATTGCAGACATCAAGGGAAGTAACTGAACATTAATGTGAATAACTTAATTTCAAGGGAAGAAACTGCAGTCATCAGGGGAAGTAACTGAACATTAATTTGAATAACTTAATTTCAAGGGAAGAAACTGCAGTCATCAGGGGAAGTAACTACACATCAATGTAAATAACTTGAATGGAAGTAACTATATGCATTAAGGCAAGTAAATGGACAAACTGTATAGACTTCAATGGGAATACTCAACTAGCTATATAGAAATAAAGATGAAAATCAAGGGAAGTAACTTCATTAATCAAGGGGAATAACTTTAGACATAAAGGATCTTAACTGTAGTCATCAGAGATACTTATAAATAGAAGGTTGGTAGGTTTAGTAGGTACATTTGTAACAGTAAACATTAACATCAAAGATTGTAGACATCACATGGAGTAATTGAAGATGTCAAAGGGAGGTAACCAGACATCTGGAATACATATTGTAGACTTCAAGAAAGGTAACTGTAAACATCAACAACTGGTTAATTGTTGACATCAACAGAAGAGTAGGTTCACATGTCTACAGGTTTCCCTTCCATAACAGGTCACTAGTCCGCTCTAGTTGTGCCTTCCCTGAAAATACAAAATAAGAATAGAATTTTAGAGAGAATGAAACAGTAATATCGAAATCAATTAACATGAAAATCAAATTATCTGAAAATGAAAAAAAGAGTATAAATGGAAACCATTATAAAAAAGCTTCTTTTACTGTTTATCAGATGAAAATGAAATTGATGTCCTGCTTCTAAAGTTCTTAAATGTACATCCTAGAGAATTACATCTTGTACTATACTGTCAATGTTACTAGTGGTGTTCATCCTAGAGAATTACATCTTGTACTATACCGTCAATGTTCCTAGTGATGTACATCCTAGAGAATTACATCTTGTACTATACTGTCAATGTT